CACATACCCCATCAAGGCCAATCAAGTAATATTAACTCCGTCAAGTAATCTATTTTTTAATTTACCAATCGGTTTTTTATACCAATTTTGTTTTTGATTTGACGCGCTCAATTTTGTGATAACTATAACAAGCTCAGTAAGACAGTAATAACTTTTATGGTTCAATTGACAAATTTATTGAAGATAAATATCTTAGTATTTTCATATGTTTTTTCTTTAATCTATTAATAAATAATAAAATAATGTTTAAATGCACCATTTTAATAATTCAACATCATCACATACTTAAATTATAATTTTAGCAAACAAAGTATATTTAACTGATTTAATCAATTTATACGTTACTACACTAGTTCTATCACTGCAAAATCTAGGGATAAATGACGATGTCGTTTGGTTATCGGCCTATCTGCCACTCTTGGCCTTTTGGATTAGTTTGATTGCGTCAATAATTATTTTTAGTGTTTGATAAAAGACTAATTAATTTGACTGTTTGAAGCGAAAAAACTAAAAATGAATAGCCACCTTGAGTAGCTTTTCACAACATGTTTTTGATTTTATATTTTAAAAGTCTTGTATACCCATTTACTTTACCTAATCGTTTAATTTTTAATAATTATTCAAAACCACAAATATTAATTGAAATAAAATATAAATAACAATAAGGCTAAAGGGTCAAATAGGTCCTTGTACCCTTTCGGATTGCTCAATTTGCCCCCTCAACCCAAAAAAACTCCAATGGGCACCGTGAACTCGATAAAAATATTTAAATTCCACTTTTTGTAGGTTTCAATCCGGTCACCGCCACGTTACCCGGTAGGGTGCCAACTGTGCATGTGACATGGCAACTTAGGGGGTCAAATAAGCCCCTTAACCCGATCGAATCGTTCAATTTACCCCTCACTCCTAAGAAATGTCAATTTTTTTAAAGGGTTGTGGGGGGGGGGGGGGGGGGGGGGGTAAATTGAACATTTCAGTCGGGTTCAAGAGCTTATTTGACCCCCTAAGTTGCCATGTCACATGCACAGTTGGCACCCTACCGGGTGATGTGGCGGTGACCGGCTTGTGACCTGCAAAATGTAAAATTTGAATCTTTTTATGGAGTTCAGGGTGCCAATTGGAGCTTTTTTGAGTTCGGGGGAAAATTGAACAATCCGGAAAGGTACATGGCCTATTTGACCCTTTAGCCTAACAATAATAGTGTAATAATGAGATAAAAATCATAGTAACAAAATTAATGATAAGTATCATTATGATTTTTTTTATGATATTATTGTAAAGACTAGTATGTAACACCGTCCCAAAGTATATTTACTTTTATGTAAATTATGTATTGAACATTGAGAAATGGTTAATGAATTTAAGAGGTTGTAAATTTTTATTATTTCTTTTGCTTGAATTGTAAATTGCACGTGGGACCCACACTGGGAGCGAGGACCACCCGATATTTACGGGACCACATATTATATTCATCTTGGTCTAGATAATGTATATATGGTGGTGAATACTCTAGTTGGGCCACAGAAAAGGCATATAGTTGACCGGTTGGTCAAATAGGGCCCATATACCAATATCGGTATTTCGTCAGATAACAACCCGTGATACCAATATTCATTCTAAAGGCCCATAGTGATTGGGAACATGTTATATATTTTATTTGACTCGATGAAATAAAATATAATTAAAACAATCTGAGAAATACAATTTCGGGGCCGAATGTGCATTCGGGGACATAAAGGGAAGACCTCCCACATGAGTGGGGGCCACCCCACATTTTTAGACATCAAACTGGCAAAGGGAGCTGCACAACTTGGAGGATAGGTGGCTGAGGTTTGGTTTATGGAATCAAATAAGTTGTGGACCTCTTTCCACACTTATTAGTTCAATGAGACAAAGATAGGATTATTCCTACTCCCTCCCCTATCACACACTTCGACCAGACACACAAGGAAAGAGAAAGCGGCTATGCATTATTCACCTCCATAGATAGAAGCTTGAGCTCAACCAAGAAGAGGTCTAAGGAAGAAGAAAAATGAGAGAAAAGAGAGGAAAACCTTGGGAATTAAGGTAAGAAATTAAACTTTTTGGTAACTTTTCTTCCATCATTTGATTCTCATATGAGTTATACATCATATGAAGTATCCATAAGATTGTTCTTCATGTTTAGAAGTGTAGAATGAGGGGTTGGAAGGTAGCTATAAGTCCAAGAACGGACTTAGAAGCCAAAGTGACCCGTTCACCGGAAAATAACCTTTTAGAGGTTATTTGTGCTGATATGGGTTTTGTGATGTTAAAACCTTGCTAGAAACTTGGCTAAGGAGTTCATAGTGCTTTCACGAAGTTGGAAGTGAACTAAAATGGTATATTATGCATGTAATTGAATGAAAATGCATATAAAAAGATATGTGATATTTTGAATGACCAAAATGGTATATTTTGATTGTTTAGGACTTAATACACATTGTATAAAAGTTTCGGATCAATCGGAGATCGTTCGGGGGGTCAACGGACCGTCCCCCTCGAGCAGACGGCGGACCGTCGCCAGTTAAGTTTCTGTCACACCGGTTCAGCTACTTTTCACTATGAACCGGCACCGCGCAGGCAGTGAACCAACGTCGGTCCGGCTGCTGGTTTCGGGACCATTTTTTGGAAAATGCAAAACGCGGCCCGGTTCAAGGTAGAACCGGCCCCGACCATCCTATATATGTATATTGAGCATGAAATTGCATGGAATATGATGTTTAAATGCTAAAACTTGACATATGATGATTTAAACGCTAAGGCTCAGATTAGTCATTAATGGTGATATGATATAGACCATGTCCCGGTTAGGTATATGGTAGATCATAGGTTGTGTCGAGTGGAGAACCCATAGAACGAGCCGTGTCCTCGAAACTTGGTTGTGTCGGGTGGAGAACCCAGGTGACGAGTTGTGTCCTAAAAACTCGCTTGTGTCGAGTGGAGAACCCAAGAAACGAGTTGTGTCCTCAAAACTCGGCTGTGTCGGGTGGAGAACCTCAGGGAACGAGCCGTGTCCACAAAACTCGGTTGTGTCAGGTGGAGAACCTAGGGAATGAGCTGTGTTCTCAAAACTAGGATATTATGTTTAGTGGAGTACCGAGGGCTGGGCAATGCCTAAAACTCGGATATTAGGTCGGGTGGAGTATCGAGAGCTGGGTGGTGCCTAAAACTTGGAAATTAGGGGGGTGGAGTACCCAGGGCCGGACGGTGCCTAAAACTTGATATTAACGGGAGTGTGGCCTGGTAGCTGAGTAAGGCTATCAACACTCGGTTATACAATGAACCCTAGGTTATAGCAGGACAACTAAACAATGGGTCGGTTATGAGGAAAGTCAAGAACTAAGTCCACCATTATTTTATTGATTTGATTAAATGACCTACGACTCAGATATTTTCCAAGCGTATATACTTGTATGTATTTCAAAGAATTGGGAAGGTTATAAACGTATGCATCACCCTATGTTTGGGTCTTATAATTGAAACGTTAGTTATTCTACATTTAGCCTGTTGCTCACTCGGTATTCACGTACTAGACCCTTCGGGCCCCCACCATTTCAGGTTGAAGCTAGAGTTTGCTACCTGCACCTTTCAGACAGGTGAAGCCGCATTCATGAAGACGTGGTTCATGCTTCCTTATTGTTTTCAAAATTATAAACACTTGCTCATGGATATTTGAACTACTACAAACTATTTTGGGCCTGCGAGCCCATGCTTTGGCCGGATGTGGCCCATGACTTACTGTTGGATATTTCCGCTATTCATTGGTTAAATGTGATGTTGATATGTATGTTTACTTAATGAGTATGATATGAACTATGTTCATGAACGCTTTGTACAATTAAGTGAGGTTGACCTGTGGGTGACATCATTTGACTGTGCGACAGTTGTACACGCGTTTAGTTGCGGGTTGGGGCGTGACATAGTAAGGACAATTGTATTCACATTATTGATGCTAGGATCAAATGAATATATATGTGCGTGCACTTATACATCTATATTGAAAATAACAATAGTAGTCATCACTTATCATATTACGTATAAAATATCAGAATACATTTTTTCTCCTTCAAAATATATAAAAAACAAGCCGAGTTAAATAAATAAATAAATAAATACACACATTTTATTCATACCCTCAATAGTCATTTTATATCCCAACAATTAATCATGAATAACTAATTTGTCAAACATTTTACTTTAGTTACTGATGTTAAAGACTGGTCAAATTAGCTAACAGAATTCACTAATATCAAACAACCGATACACTCGACTATCAATCGACAGTCAACACTTAATTGTCAAACACTCCCGATATCTATCTTTGGAATAACATTTGTATCAGATCAATCTGATGAGATCCCGTTAGACCAACTTCATTTTTAGCCGAAAAATGAAGTTTATTTATAATCCAATTTGTCAATTTGTTTATTCATCTAGTATCAGCTACTCCCCCGCCTCACTATAATTGTCTCATTTTTTCATTTTTGGATGTCCCTCTATTATTGTCTCATATCATATTTGGTAACATTAGTGCAACTATAATTCATTCTTTATTTTCACTTTATCAACTACATAATTTCACTTTTCTTAAAAACCACATCAATATCTTCCGTCCTAATATTAAAGGGATGAAGGTAGTACTCGTCTTTTTTATCCTTGGCTAGTAAATAAATTGAGACACTGGTCTAATTTTTTTTCCATGTGCACAGCCCCACTCTATTCCTCCATAAAAGTGGATGTTTCCTTTGATGTCCTTGAAAAATATGAAAATGGCAGTAGGCTACCCAGTTTTTGCATCCAAAATCGTCATTTGCTATATCGCAATTTCCACGACTTTGGTCCCTTCGCCCTACTCCTGCCCATTGCTAAGTGCAAACTTTCTTTCGGTTTTAACCTCAACTGAAATTTCAGCTATTCACCCTACAAGGGGCCTAACTAGTCATTTTAGACAGTGAAGAAAAAGATTCCACCCAAAGTGGGGAAAAAGTACACGTACAAATGGCAGACCTCAATACAGCGGCAGAAGCAAAATGGAGAAAACAAAATTTATTAGATAAATCTCTCACTCTCTCCTACTCACTCTTGACTCTCTCCGCAAAATGCTCTGAGGAAATTCCACTCCGCTGAGCTTCATTTGAGCTGCGGTTTGACCATTCTCGTTCTATACCGCCTTCACACCTTTCCACACAGTCCTGAATCGTATGCATTTCAATCTTTTTTTTGACCATTCATATGTATTTTTTCAGTTTTGTTTATGCCCCTTGAGATCATATTCCCCCCCTTGAGAATTTTTTTTTCGGTTCTTTTGCAGTAGCGTTTTTTGCTTTTGGGGTGGGTCGGTTTGTGTTATTTGTTTTTTTTCTTGAAATGGGAACTAGGGTTTTTGACGTAGTTATTGCGTGGTTCAACTCTGGGGGTGTGTTGATTTGCATGTGGATTTTGCTTTGAAACTTTCTGTGTTGCTTATGCCATTTTGGTTTTTGGTCAATGCCATATGATTGTTTATTTGTTTAGTGTGTAGTTGTGTGCCAAAGAGATAATGATCGCTGCTTTCTACATACATATACAAACGCGTTTTTCTTTCCATTTCTTGGGATTGATCTTTACTAGAACTGTCAATGTATTTGTGTTTTTTGAGTCCGTGTTCAGTGAAAATTCAGAGTTTTTAATCTGCAAAGTTGCAGCTGAAAATTTTAATTGGTACATGGGATCCTTTCCAGAGAGGAAAGAACTCAAACATTACTAAAATTTGAAGTTTGAGAGACACCACATTTCTGTTTTCTTTAAATGCGTTTGCATTGAATAATTTAGGACATGTTTTTATTTGCAAAGTGAAAATAAAACACAATAAAGGGTTTAATTTAACGGAGTTAAAAAACAGCCACCACCAATCACCTATGAATCTTTTTTATATTGCTTCTGCATGGACAGTTTTGCTGATCTGTACACAGTTTAATTAGTTTACCCTTCTTTTGTTCCGATATATATTTTCAGCCTTGGTGGATAGAAATGGAAGAAGGTCCATCATTCAATGTAATGGATGGGACAATAAAGGGTATCAAATTTGGTTTAGCTACTCGCCTTGAAATTGTGAGCATTATACCTGCTTATAGCATTATTCTATCACATTTACAAGTTTTCTTATAGTCCCTCCATCCCCAATTGTGTAGCAATGTGTGAATTTTATGGTTTTTTGATGATAAAGTTAATTCTCTCCTAATAATACTTAAACAAGTGTTATCAATTAAAACTTATGTATTTATAAAGCGTACTAAAAGTTCATCTGGAGAGCACAAAATGAAGTTGGATATAAAAAAAATTGACACTCAAAATCACAGAACAAAAAGGAATTGCGTTGACCAATGAATAGTAAAGTTGCAACTCAATTTGGGAAGGATGGAGTAACAATATCAAGTCCGTTTCTTATTTGATAAGCAATTCAATATAATAATACTAATGCAGGTGAAAGCCTCTATTAGTGATTGCCCTATAAATCATCCCAGCCAGCTTCTAAACCCCTTTCTTGGCCTTCCACTCGAAGCTGGGAAATGTGAATCTTGTGGTTCTGGTGAGCCAGGGCAATGTGAAGGTAAGGAGGAGTTCTACTTCACACTCTTCTTCATGTATTACTTGTCATGAAATCATGATATGTTAACCAATAGGATTTCGTTCTTTAAATTGACATTTCAGGGCATTTTGGCTACATTGAATTGCCTACACCTATATATCACCCTGACCATGTTAGTGAGTTAAAGAGGATGCTAAGCTTATTGTGCTTAAAGTGTCTCAAATTAAGAAACCGGAAGGTATTACCACTACAAAACTCTCTCTAAATATCGGTCTGTTGCAAGCAAGTTGTTTCCTCTGCCAAGACTGTGCATAGTATATTATATGCTATTTATTAAACTTAGGCATTCTGTGAACTCGGAAGGATGTTCTTCTTAACCTTCTCTATGTATTATTCACCTTCCATTACGATGGAACCCAATAACTGTGAAATACTGTTATTGACATTTCACAGCCCACTAGGTAAACATAATTGCATTTTCCTTTTCAGATGTATTATACTATTATTGATATAAGGTTGGAAATCTTCCCCCAACTACAGCAGTTTCTATCCCATACTAATTAGGAGTTATTATGGATATGGTCTCAGAAAATTGTCCTGCAAGTATGTAAAAGGAATAATTGCTGAACTCTTGTCTATTTGAAGGTTTATTTTAATGTATTTCAATTTATTTATAATACTCCATAATAAATAATCACACACGCAGAAAATTATGCACACAAATGTTATGTAGTATATTTATATTATATTTATTTATTATTCTATTTCACTATATTATCTTATTATAACATTTACACCCCCTCTTCCCTCTTCCCCCATCCCAATTTATAGTGGGCAGATTGGATTAAACACTTTGTCGAGTACAATTCAATTTATCCACATTTAATTTAGTATGATATATTGAAATTAACACATCTAAAGATACACAGGAAGTGCTATGACATCCAAATAATAAATTAGAACATAATACATTTGTTATTAGAAGATAAACAGTACAAATAAAATAGGAACATTAGAGCAATAATTTGTTACTCCCGTCCCTTCAAACTTTGCCATATTTGATTTTCTTGGTCACGGTGGTAAACTTTGGCCAATGATGTTTAATAATAAAATTGAGTCAAAGTTATAAGTTTTATACTTTCGTGGGAGTATCTTAATGATTCTTTTATACCATTTTCATATTATAAATACTTTTATACAAGATCATCGACCAAGAAAGTACAAGATGTCAAGATGACTAAGTCTTAAGGTGCGGATGTAATATAGTTTATAGTTATTTTATTTTGTTTGGAGTATGTTTAGTCAATATGGTTATTATATTCTTCATTGTCTATATCCATTGCAACTCCAGTGCAAACTAAACAAATGAACAAGTATTCTCACTAATTTTATTCATACCAACCAAAATGTGGAATTTGAATTCTTCTTTGGTTCTCCATATACTTCTTGCCATGGAGATTCTAATTCCCATCTCTATGTATTCAATTCCTCCAACCAAATGTTTACCAGTGTCATTTGACCCATTGTGATGACAAGAGTCAGTTTGGACTACTTGCTCTGAAATCCATGTATATGCATCACATATGTGTTATGAATTTAGTGGTGTCTGGTTTGCAGTTGACTCCACCTCTTAATAATCAGCATGATTTGTTTGCACCTATATCAATGTACTTCAGTATATGTGTATAAGACACTAATTGCATTGATTATCTATCCAATATGAGACACTAAAAACTGGTGATTTTTGTACTTTAAGCATTTGTAAACATCAGCATTGGTGTGACAGAAATTTTCGTTTGCTGCGATGTGGTTAGATATTGGTTTTTCTTACTTGAATATTACTTGAGGAAAAGAAAAAAAAACATCTGACTAGTTATAGATATTCCAAAACATTAATAAGTATATCAAGTAAACCCTTTATTTAAATCTTACAGTTTATAATCACATTAGTAAATTACTGAAAACAAGCTACTGTCAAGCTTAGGTGACTAATGTTGGCAGCCAAAAGAATTGAGCCACCGCTCACTGTCAATGCTGTAAGAGAACCACCTCCACCAAACCATGCCACTGACTCTGCAAAAAATAAGTCTCATGGACCCCGAATCATGTCACTGATGCTGCTTCAATCTGTGAAAGCAACCCGTAATTGCAACAGTGACACTGCGGCCCCAAAGTGAAACCAACCCACTTCTTACTTCATCATCTTAGCCGTCACTGCTACCGAGCACCCTATTTTTGACGCCCAAGGCTACATTGGCACTAAACCCTCTAGGGGTTTTCATTCGGTAAAACCAAACTGAATCAAAATTTGAGTTATTTTTTGAACCTAATACCAAACGAAAATAGATTCTGATGGAATAAAGCAAAATGGCTCACTAAACTGTCTGCGCTTCTTTGTTATGGAGCAGTCATTCCATGCAATTTTGGACGGGATTTTCACTATGGGTCATTTGGAAACAGTCTCTCTGTGCTTTAGTACAGGGGTAAGACTGCGTACATCTGACCCCCCTTACCCCACCTTAGGTGGGAGCCTTTGCGGCATTGGGGTAAATGAAAATGATGACCAAACGAAAATAGATTGGTTTGGTTTGGCAAATGGTAATTACTGAAAACAACCTGGTTTTGTTTTCAATTAAAAAATAATCCTTTTTTTCTAGCATTCATGTACAGCAACAACATTGAAGCCTTGGTCCCAAAAGAATTTGGGGTCGACTAAGATGAATCGACATATGAAATCGGAGCGATAAAAGCAAAAGTTTATGGTAATTGAAGTCCAATAAAATCATATATTGTCTCATTTATGTTCGTTTTCCAATAGTAAACCTGAAGAAAAAAACCGCAGATGCTAAATTAAAATAGTAGTAATTATAATAAACAAAAAAATTAGGATTTCTAGTAATAGGACAATAACGATTTTCAATTTGCACATCAATAATGCAAATTATAAAACGAATGTGAACATGCATTCCCTTATAAAAACAAAATATTAGCCGTAAAGTAGAGCATAACCATGAAAGAAGAGTAGCACAATCAAACGAAAGAAGAGTGATGAATAGATGACCATACAAATATGTACTAGTATATGTTTTGAGAGTCAGAACGAGAGAGTTGATAGTTTGAATGAAAGTACTGAGATTCTAAAAGTGGGATGTATGGCTGGTTTTGATATTTATAAGATAGGTAACACATATATGCAATAAAAGTAATAATATTTTTTTAAAATTTAAGTCAATGTTTCAGTATTCAGTAAAAAACGAAGTATGGAAACCAAAATTGTGTACCAAACTGAATATGAATATCCGGATAATATGTATTGATTCATCATCATCATTACCCCAATGCCACAAAGGCTCCCACCTACGATGGGGTAAGGGGGTCGGATGTACGCAACCTTACCCCTGTACTAAAGCACTGAGAATATGTTTCCGGATGACCCACAGTGAAAATCGTATCGGAAATTACATGGACTGACAGCTGCTTCATAACAAAGAAGCGCAGACAGTTTAGTGAGCCCTTTTGCTTTATTCCATCATATTCCCAAGCCAAAATATAGCGAGTCTTTGGCTCCATTGCAAATGATGAATGCTGCTTCATAATATGTATTGATTACTTAACCAAATTCAGTTCAGTATTTGGTCTCGGTTTGGTTCGGCGAGTTTACAGAATTAGGCACTCCTAAAATCCCCAATCTTAACATAGGCGGATGAGGATAACAAGGAAGGTATATTTAGCAATTAAACGGTAATTCATCCTCTGCTTCATTGATGGCAAATGGAGACTCTTTGGTAGACAATAGGGTTGAGATTGATGGTAATCAGTTTGGTTCGAAGGATGTGGGGTGAATTTATCAACTAAGTTAAATATTAGGAATTCTTCATCATCTGATAGATATACAGTTCCAATTTCCAAAGAAGGGTAAGAAATCACAGTGGGTTCATATAAGAAGAATCACTAAAAGAATAAGCTGGATGATGATGATGATGTGGGCCGATGGATGGCATGTGGTGGCAGATGGAAAGTTGTTGGGTTGATGGAGGAGGATCGAGCTACATAGGCAGGATGGCGGTGGTGCGGGGGAGGTGACCGGGTGAGGTGGGAGTGCAGAAAAGGGAGGGGATTAGAGGAAGGCATGAAAATGTTTATCTGCGTGTGTATGTATGTATTACAGTATACACTAATACAAGGGCTATTGTGATAATTCACTATAACTGTACAAAAACAAAGCTAGAATCATCTTTTGTCCGGAGAAACTCTAGAAGTAATATCTATGCCATTTATTTGTAGATCCTTTTAACTGATGCCCTGTCATATTTTGCATGCTTTTAGTTCCAGGTCAAGCATATTGGTGTTCTTGAAAGGATGATGTCCTTGTGCTGTGAGGTAAGTTTTCCACTCCCCCTATTATTCTGAAAATGTTATTATCCAGCACTATTATATCTTTCTGTTATGAATAATTTCTGCATTCATACCAATGGAATTATTTCATTTGTTGTCCATATGTGCTCTTTTTTTGGTGGTAGAGGGGGATTAAAGATGTCTCAGAAATACCAAGCAGAGGATGTGAAGCTTATTTGTTTTGGGTTATACCATGGAAATTGGAGTACCAGGCATTATAGTGAATTTAGTAGACTTTATTGTTTCCCCTTCCAGGAAACATGTGAAATATGTTAAAGAACTGACTGACTTGTAACAGTTGTAGTGGAGTTATTTGGGACTTGGGGTTTCAGATTTAGGGCTTTGTCGTATTGTGCTTGATTGGCATCCCACTCTAGCATTTCCCACTTCAAGTTTTTTATTATTTATTTTTATTCTTAACTTTCATTCCATCGTCTTCCATGTTTCAATGCTCTAAAATTTTCATTTCTTTCTTTCTCATCGATTTTTGAAAATTCAACGATAAAAGATTTTCTTGTTTGTCTTCTTCTGCAAATACATATGGGTGCTGTAAAAAATGGAGATTGATTAGAAAATTTACTCTAAACATAATGATTTGTGTGCTTAATAACCTCACTGTGCTGCAGGAAGTTTCACAAGTATCAGTAAATGAAGTTAAAAATTCGGATGGTGCTTGTTATTTGGAGTTGAAAGTACCAAAGACTGCAACACTGAGTGATGACTTTTGGAAATTCTTGGAGAAGTATGGATTTAAATATGGTAATGGCTATTCTCGTAGATTGCTTCCTTCTGAGGTTTGTTTTCTCAAACACTTATGATCTAACCTTGGTTTGGCCATGTGAAATCTTGTGTTGTTAACTGTTTGTACAATGTATAACAAGCTACTTATGGTAGTACATACAATATGCTTTTCTTTCTCATGCATGAATATAAAAAGCGGCAGCCCAGGGAAGGGTCCCATCACAAGGGTGTATAAGGGCCAAGGGGCAAGCCTTCCCTTGTCATTTTTGACAAGAGGCTGCTCCCAAGACTTCGAACCCGTGACCTCTCGGTCACACAACACCATTGTAACTGGTGCGCTAAGGCTCCCATTCTCATGCATGAATATACAAGTGCTATAATCCTCCACAATTTTCTTGCTTGTAGAAAACTTGAGTAAACAAAAGTGTTTTTGTTCTGTTAAATTGGAAAGGAGTAAACAAGAGTGCTGACATCTCTAATCACTCTAGAAAAATAAAAAGCGTGTTGAATAATTTGAAGCATCTACATTAACTTTTTTAACTTACCGATCCCTTTTTTCTGGTTGCTGGTGCCGATTTGTTGAGATTTTATGCTGCATTTGTTTTTTACTTCTTGCACCAAATATACATACCCTTAGCAGTTAGCCCCTTCCTAATTTGCTGCGCAATTATACAAGGTAACAATCATTGAATACAGAAAGAACAACTTAAATTTAAAGTAGATGAATGTATGATGTATCTTTTCATACTTTATTCTTTAGAAATTAGAATACAATAGATTCCACTTAGCATCTCAGCCGATTTTTATGTACTTTAGTTCAATTTTGACATCATACTAATTGAAGCTGCTTAGGTGCTCCTCCAAGGTTTTTTTTTTGGATTTTTTAAATGTAAACCTGGCCCGAATAATCGTAAAGAATGCTGTTTTCATGTCATTTAGTTGCTTTGCGCAATAGCGATTTGTATAAAATGTTCCATTAATGTTGATGAACACATACAACGAGGCAGCCTTCCTTTAACTAGTTAAGTTTTGTAAAGTGAAGATATAATGTTCTTGTGCTGATGATTATTTTTTTTAATTTCCAATGGAGAATACAGCATGCTAGTATGTTACAATACTCTGAACTCTGAAGCTGGAAACTTTTTGTTCATATTAGTTGGTGTTATCTTAATTTTACTGATGCCTTCTGATCTGGTTGTACTTGCTGCATTTTATTTTTTCTTTGTAGGTAGCTGCAATACTGAGAAAAATATCTGAAGACACCCGGAGAAAACTTTGTGCGAAGGGATATTCTCCACAAGAAGGCTATATTCTTCAATTCTTGCCTGTCCCGCCTAATTGTTTGTCTGTTCCAGACATATCTGATGGGATGAACATTATGTCTTCAGTAAGAAATTCTCAAGTCCTTTTGTGATCGCGAATGTTGTTACTAATTTTTTTTCTTTTTAATAGTGGTTCCATGTTTTTAATTAGGATCACTCAATAACAATGCTCAGAAAAGTGCTCAAACAAATAGAGAATATTAAAAGCTCAAGGTCTGGAACACCAAATTTTGAGTCTCAAGAAGTGGAATCAAATGATTTGCAAGTAGCAGTTGCTCAGTATCTTCAGTTCAGGGGTACTGGCAAGGTATGCTGCTAAGTTTTTGCACACTTGTCTCTTGAATATCAAGTCTGAGTACCATGATCCTTGTAGTTCAAGATTTGTATCCTTCACCTTTACATTGGTGTCATCAATATCTGACCCTGAATGTTACATGTCCTTGAGATTTATTTCTTTTCCTCTGCTCATCCAACTCAGGGCTGGTCCTATAAAATTGGAGGCCCTGTGCAACAATAAAAAGTGGGCCTTTTGTAAAACAAGTAGATATATACAAAATGAAGATTGTATTAAGAATAACTTATGTATATTTTACGTCGAAATAAAAGTCATGGAGTATTATTTAATAAAACTGTCAAAATAAAAAATATATGTTAGACAAAAAATGGATATTCTTCGAACATACTTATATGTAAAATTATATACCAAACTTTTAATGATTGGATTAACTGTTAAGACCCGAAACTTTAACATTAACTTCTGAAGGGTTTAATGTTCATTTCCGTTTAAGGTTCTCATATCCAGATGATTAGATGAGTATATCTTTAGAAGTATAATCACTAGCAATTGTCAAATCATCCCCTAATCTTGTACATGTTTCCAACTTTTAAATAAAAAAGCTAATTTAAGCTTTAAGATAAGGAGTTTAGACTACAGACTCAAAAAAGGAAAATTCATTTTCCAGCGAGGCGGTGCAATTGGCGTTTGAGTTCTTGAAGTTTTGTGTTATCTCAATATCTAATGAGTTCATCAATTAGTGTTAAATAAATAAATGCCTTGCTCTATGGAAGAAGCTTTGACTTTTAAATCAGAAAATCTGAAAATACACATATAACAACAATTCAACAAACAATTCACAGTAATTCACAATTAAACAAATCAAAAAACTGAAAATCAGTGGACTGACCGGACTTGTGGAGCGATGGAGGCAAGGCACAATGGGCCGTTGGCGGGCTGGCGCCGGCGCTAGGTGGAGGGACTGGCGGCGTTCGTCTCTCAGTCGGGCGAGCTGTCCTTCATTCCCTCTTCGTGGCTTCGTCGTTCCAGAGCACCGTGGTTTTGCATCGTTTCCCGTTTCCAAGTCGAGCAACACACGTAGGTTTCAAGTTGGCGAGATTAGGACGGTAAGTTTGGGCCGTTTGGCCAACATGGTTTTTACTTCAAGCATGTTTCGTAGGGTTTAACTCTTGCAGGTTGTTGGCAAAATGTTTGGGCTGGAGTACTAATACTAGTTTTTTATTTTTTTGGGCCCTCCAAAATTTTGGGCCCTGTGCGGTTGGGCTGGGTATTGGGTAAACCTGGCCTGGGCCAGCCCTGATCCAACTCATTGAAAATGAACAAAACATGTTTCGGTTCTTAGCTGATCTTCAGTGACCCTTTTCTTTCATGTTTAATTAAGAGAATGGCACATGCATGTTACATTTCAAGAGATTATTGGATCATGAAGAGCTTCCTAGGCTTAGGATGAGGATGAATGGAGTGTATACTTCACTCTTCCTGAAGTGTACATATATATGACCAGCGCACTTTCTGGTTGCGTTTGTACACTTAAACATGTTTTTGTTAAGATAATGGATGCAACTCTTTGTTTATTCTCTTCTGAGTTCTGACACTTTTAAAAGCTCAAAAGAGACAAAAGTTGCTAGTGGATCCCTATTTGAATCAGTTAAGATATAGCCAGAGTAACAAGTTGGATCTCCAAAGAAGGAAAAAGTGATGAAAAGAAAAGAGTGTGGTGGAGGAAAGAAATGAAAGAAGATCAATAGTGAAGGTGGAAGATAAATTTATGGTCATGCTAAAGAGTGGGGGAAAACTGAAAAAAGAAACGAAGAAGGATAGAGATGTGGGCGAGAAATGAAGAGCGTAGGATGCGTGAAGAGGGGAAATGTGGGGGAGGGGGTGAAGATATTTTACTTGAAATAGGGGTAATGCGTTGGATTAAATGAGTCTAAGGGTGCTATTGTCATTTTGACTATTCCTTATTACCAAATATAGAACTGTTGCAATTATTTTGGAATTGCCAAATAAGGAAAGTGTTGCAACTTGCAAATATTTAAGAACAGAGGAAGTATTTAGTAATGGGCTGGAATATTACACGGAACTGACTGTAATATCCAAGATTGGTAAGCGCTTAAGAGATCATTGCATTCAATTTTATCCGGATTCAAAAAAGTGAGGGTGTACTCACAGCTTCAGCATCTCAGAGAAGGAGAATGGTACAAATAGGGGAAGAGAAGGGAGTTGAGATCCGCAGAACATCGGGTAACACACCCTCTAACAAGATAAAGGAGTTCATCCCTCTGGAGCTGTTGTAGCTAAGTAGCTTTCTTTGCTGTCTTCTGGTTCATTGTACTGTTCGGGATAGTGCTATTAGCTACTGTAAAGCAACTAGATAGACGCAAAGTAGCATCTCGGGGTAGTGCTATTAGCTGCTGTAAAGCAACTAGATAGACTCAAATTAGCATCTTGGGATAGTTCTTACACTTACACTTCAACCAACTGAATTAATAGATGAAAAAGGGCCTGCAACTGGTACTGGCTCAACCCACAGCAAACAGAACTAGAACTCTCTTTGCATACCTACCCTCAATAAATAAATAAATAAATAAATCTATGTAATTGTACTATTGTAGTAGCCTGTTGTTGTTGTAAATTGTAATACTCCCTTCGTCCCAATTTGTAAGACACTTTACGGTTTACGATGTTTGACCGACGGTAAAGCAATATGACCTCTGTCAACACTCAAATTACTTTTAGAAAATAAAATTTACATATTCAGAAACTACATTAAAAGTTTTACAAAGTCGCAGATTTTTTTTTCACATTTGATAAAAGTTAAATGTATAAAGTAAAAGATTAAGAGTGATTTATGTTGATCAAGTGAATAGGTAACATGTCTTACAAATTGGGACAAATGCTAGTGTGGTATGTAGTTAGCTAGGGGAAAAGTTTCAGTAATAGGCTTCTCATTGCATGTAGCCAGTTTGTTACAGCTCATAAGGTTCTGCTGATAGTCGAGTATCTTAAGTTTGATGTTTCTATCTATTGCTAAGCATTCATATATTTCTACCCATCACTATTCAGCTGTCCTGATTATATTTTCGTCATAATTTATGCTGATAGGCATCTCGTGATGTGGATAAGCGTTTTGGAGTTGGCAAGGAATCAAATGAATCAACTACCAAGGCTTGGCTTGAGAAGATGAAAACTTTATTTATAAGAAAGGGGTCTGGTTTCTCCTCTCGCAGTGTGATTACAGGTGATCCATATAAGGGAGTGAATGAAATAGGATTACCATTTGAGATTGCCCAACGTATCACCTTTGAAGAAAGGGTAAGTTTGCACAATGTGGCATTCCTGCAGAAGCTGGTTGATCAAAACCTGTGCTTGACCTACAGGGATGGAGCATCGACGTATTCTTTAAGGGAAGGATCCAAAGGTCACACCTTTTTGAAACCAGGACAACTTGTTCATAGGAGGATTATGGATGGGGATATTGTGTTTATCAACAGGCCTCCAACTACACATAAGCACTCCTTGCAAGCTTTGTCGGTCTATGTACACGATGATCACACAGTTAAGATCAATCCACTGATTTGTGGGCCACTAAGTGCAGACTTCGATGGAGATTGCATCCACCTCTTCTATCCCCAGTCTCTCTCTGCTAAAGCAGAGGTTTTGGAGCTCTTCTCTGTTGAGAAACAACTGTTGAGCTCACATACAGGTAATTTTAATTTGCAGATGGGAAGTGACTCGTTATTGGCTTGCAAGTTAATGTTTGAAAAGTACTTTGTAAATAAAATTTGTGCCCAGCAGTTAGCCATGTTTCTCCCAAGCAGCTTGCCACTACCTGCGCTTGTGAAGTCCCATCGTTCTGCCCCACATTGGACAATCCTGCAGATTCTGGGAACAGCTTTGCCTAGGTCCTTCGATTGTTTGGGGGATAGATACACTGTTAACAAAAGTGAGTTCGTAAAAATTGACTATAGCAGGGATACATTGTCATCAATCCTCAATGATATTGTTTCTTCAATTTATTTTGGAAAGGGTCCCAAAGAGGTTATCCTATTTTTTAATGCGCTACAACCTTTGTTAATGGAATATCTGTACACAGAAGGCTTTAGTATCAGCCTTGGAGACTTTTTCATTTCCGAAGCTGCTAGAGAAAAGATCCAAACAAATATTCAGGGTGTGTCACAGTTGCTGCATAGCTTGCGTGCATCTTTCAATGCATCTGTGGAGCTACAATTGGACCGTTTCCTGAAAGTCGAAAAAACTCCCGTCGCTGATTTCGCTCTACATTCATCTGCAATAGGTCATTTAATTGACCCCAAGAGCGAGTCTGCTCTTAATAAGGTAGTACAACAGGTTGGGTTTTTAGGTTTGCAAATGGCAGTCAAGGGGAAGTTCTATTCCAAGACGCTTGTGAATGATGTGGCTCTGCTGTTCCAAAACAAGTATCCATCTGCTGGTCATCACCCTTCAGAGGAATTTGGTATGATTAGTAATGGCCTCTTTAATGGTTTGGATCCTTATCAAGAGATGGTTCACTCGATATCCAGCAGGGAAGTGATAGTAAGATCAACAAGAGGTTTGACTGAACCTGGAACGTTGTTCAAGAATCTGATGGCAATCCTCCGAGATGTTGTCATTTGTTATGATGGGACTGTGAGAAATGTTTGCAGCAATTCCATTATTCAATTTGAGTATGGGGTTAACAATGAAGGCAAGTTTCAGAGTGAGTTCGGTGCTGGTGATCCTGTTGGAGTATTGGCTGCAACTGCTATGTCAAACCCTGCATACAAGGCAGTGCTGGATTCATCTCCAAGCAGTAACTCTTCGTGGGAAATGATGAAGGTATTCTCTCAACCTCTAAGGACGTGTACTGGTTTGAGTACATGGATCTTAACTTGCTGTTATATTTGGTCATATGTACTTTTTCTTTCCGACTCAGGAAATCCTGCTTTGTGGAGTCAGTTTCAAGAATGCTGTATCTGACCGCCGTGTAATACTCTATCTAAATGATTGTGGATGCGGACGTAAATATTGCCGAGAAAAAGCAGCCTACGCATTGAGCAATCATTTGAGAAAAGTCTGTTTGAAGGATGCTGCTGATGAGTTCTTGATTGAGTATGCCTCTAACTCATTTTCTTTTGAGTTTTTGTTTGCTTTTTTAGTTTTTTTTTGCTTGATCTTGTGTTGCACATGTTTATGCTTGGTGCTGGTTGCCTGGTTCCATAAGTGGTCTTAGAATAATGTATTAAAGTGGTTTTGCCTTTGCATGTCATTCTCCTTGAATCCTTGTAATGCTGTATTTTCTTTGCTGTATGGTGTATGAATGCAAATCTCCTGAAAAGAGTCAATTTATCTGCATTCTTATCAACTTAAAAGAAAATATTGGTGCCTCACTCTTACAGATATGCAACACCACAGACTGGATATGAGATTTTAGGTGGAGGCGTGAGCCTTGTTGGCCACATTCATCTGAACAAGGTTCAGTGCTATTCTTTGATTATTATTTGCAAATTTTTGGTTTCTTTTTCTTGACTATTTCAAATCCATGTGAATCTTTTTATTGACCAGTCACAGTTTGAAAATCTGGGTGTTGATCTCAATGAGATTCTTGAAAAATGTGAGGAGAAAGTTTATTCCTTCAGGAGGAAGAAAAAAATTGCTCATCTATTCAGACAAATCGAGCTGTCAGTCAGGTTGACTCTTGAAATTGTGTTAATTTCTTGTAGGGTATATTTACACGTCATATCATGATATTTCCACTTTTATTTTTATTTATTTAAAAAAAAATGTGCTGTTAGTCCTTAAAAACAAATGTAGGCTTGGATGTTGTATTTAAAAAACAACAACTTACTATTCTATTTTTATCTATAATGTGCTGTTAGTTCCTGTACAAAACCAATATTAAAAACCTCCAAATCATGCTGTTCGAACTTAAGCTTACCCTCCAAATCATGCTGTTCGAACTTAAGCTTACTTAACTATTTTTTTTGGCAAGCATAAATAAGTTCAAACAAAATTGAGTTACTTACTTAAAAAAAGTTATCATAGCTATGAAAGCTTGAATGACATAGACTTTTAAAGTTTTGAAGTTTCTCCTCGTTCCAATAATTCCTAAGCAAACCTGCAGGGATCCAGTGTCACTCTTGATGTTTCCTATTGATTTTTTTAAATTTGTTTGGGAATGAGGCATCTAACTCAAAGCATGATGCCTTTTTGAGAATGAGGTATTTGATGTTACAAAAGTGCGCGCTTTGGCGTGGCTTACCGCCTATGTGCACACATCTATTACTACCTCCGTCCGGGTGGACTTTGCCAAGTGCAAAGTAGGTGAGGAATAAGAATAGTAAAAACTGTGTGGTTGAGATTTGTGCAGAGGAGAGAGAAATGTGCAGGCAAAGTTTTTTGGGACAACCAAAAAGGGAAAGTTGGCAAAGTCCAATGGGACGGAGGGAGTACTATTTTTTGAACTTGAAACTGCTCCTCTAGGGTTACTTAAACATCATGCTTGGTGTTCGACTTCAGCCTCACGCCCTTAATAACTATGACCCAACCTCAAATAGATTGATTTTGAGCCCAACTTTGTGATGCTCATTACTAGGTACTGGTTTTGGTATTGACTGATAAGTTCTGTTCAATATCAATAAACTATTAAGCGTCTTGATGTCTTTATACATGTTTCATCTTAGTACTCTTATATTTTGTCCTTAGCAGAGTAAAATGCTTTAGAGGTACATTTACAAACTTTTGAAATTCTGCTCCTTCCCAGTGCATGTTGTTCTTTTGGTGAAGGAAAAAGTAAATCAGGGGAGATGCCATGTGTGCGGTTCTCTTGGCCGCTGGATCCAGGTTATGATCAATTAGGGAAATTGGCTCACATTTTTGCAGACACAATTTGCCCAGTTCTGCTGGAAACTGTTGTAAAAGGTATAGAATATGCATTTTTCGTTATTACATTTAGTTGCTGCTGTGTTCATTGTATTTAAAGATACATACACTTCTCAAATGACACTAATTTTTTTACGCCTCAAATGTGAGTAGATCTATTTGGATTTTGATGATATACATATCTATGGATATGCTTCTCCTTTAAGGATGTTAGTTATGTTACTTGAATATCCTTTAGATGTCCCCCACTGCAATTTTGTTTTAGATGGAAAAGGCTCTTCTTGGCACTGCTGGAAAGCAGAATCAAATGACATAGTGAACTTGTATTTCATAGGTGATCATAGGGTCTCTTCTGCTAATATAATCTGGAGTAGTGCTGAGACGATGACCTGGATTAGGGGCTCTAGCAAGAATCAACCAGGTGAATTGGCTCTAGAAGTTGTTCTTGAGAAGGAAGCTGTCAAACAAAGTGGAGATACTTGGAGGATTGTCATGGACTCATGCGTCCCTTATATTCATCTTATCGACACAAGACGTTCTATACCGTATGCTATCAAACAAGTGCAAGAATTGCTTGGGATTTCTTGTGCTTTTGAGCAAGCTGTTCAGGTATTACCCAGTGATCAATTTGTTTTCTTTAATATAGCAACCAAGCTGTTAATTTTGAATGTCTTGTTTGTTCACTGCTGAATGTTACTGTTGCAATTTAAGTAGCCTTGACTAAACCATGATTAAAATAGTCTTCAATTATTAAGCATTTATCAATGATTTCAAAATTCCTTCCGACATATATATTCTGTACCAATCTAATTGGACAGTCTACCATATAGCTAGTATGCTTGCATCGGATAGTGATTCTATAGTTGTCTATAATGTTAAGAATCTCCTTGATCAAAGTTTAGAAATTTTAGATTTGGATAGTCGAGAGATTTCTTATTTCTCTAGCTCATAATGGATGTATTCTGGTTTTTGGGAGTAAGGTTCATGTCCCCTCCTGTTCTCTACTGTTCATCCTTTTTAAATAAAATTTGGTAGGTGTTCCCTGGTGCCTAGTGGTTTGCCTACTGGTTTAAAAAAATATTGTGTTTTTGTTTGGGAGGCTGGTAAAGTTTTTTATTGATGAATTTCTTATGCCTCCTTCAATGTTATAATCTCTTACCCATGGATTATTGATTAATTAAAATCAGTTATAATGTCTTGTGACATGTTAATATTCTTGTGGACTCTTTTAGTCTTTAGTTGAAATTCAAAATAAGCCTATCCTCAAGCTGTCCACGAAAAGGTCTTTCTATGCAGAGGTGCCTAGTTTTACCTTTAAGGAATCTATAGGGATGCCGTAATATCCAATTACTACATTACTGGTGGTCTTTTCTTCCTCTTGCTTATAGGCAACCATTAATCAAAATAAGATTTGTCCTTCAAGAGTGCCCTTCAACAATATAATTTGCTATTGAGAAATAGATACTTAGTACTATCTTTACTTGTTTTGGATTCCTCTACAGTGGTTTAGCAATTGCATGACTTTTTGAACAAAAATGTTCCCTAATAAGATAGATTTCTGTTTGCAGCGACTCTCAACATCAGTCACAATGGTTACAAAAGGAGTTCTCAAAGACCATCTACTTCTATTGGCGAATAGCATGACTTGTTCTGGAAATCTGGTTGGCTTTAATGCTGGTGGGATAAAGGCTTTGTCTCGTGCATTGAATGTCCAAATACCCTTTGCCGAAGCCACACTGTTTGTATGAATGTTTATCAAACTGATATGAATTTCTCAGGAATCATTTATCATATGTTCTGTTCAACCTAATTGACCTTATGTCTTGAAATTTCTTTCAGACACCTAGAAAATGCTTTGAGAGGGCTGCTGAAAAGTGCCATGTTGATTCGTTATCTAGCGTTGTGGCATCTTGTTCCTGGGGTAAACCTGTAGCTGTTGGCACTGGGTCTTCTTTTGATATTCTTCTTGATACTAGGAAGGTAAGTCACTCCTGATTTTGGTATTGTTTCAACTTGATAATTTCAATTTTTATTAGAAAGTTTGGACTTTCAATTAGTACTGAGTTGTTTTTCTCTTTTGCTAGGTTGAGTTAAACCAAAGAGTAGGTCAAAATGTCTATGATTTTCTTCTTCTGATGAGAAACAGTAATGATCGCACAGAAAAGGTTACAGACTGTCTAGGTGCAGATATTGAGGATCTGCCACCTGAAGATTTAGATTTAGACTTGTACTTATCTCCAGAAAGAGATTCAGAATCAGTGAAACCTACATTTGAAGATGGATTCGAGGATCTGATCAATGAGAATGCGGGTCAACAAGAAGGTGGCAGCGGTGGTGGTTGGGAGAAGGCTTCGACTGACACGTCTAGAGCTGGTGGTGGTGGTGGATGGGACACTGTAGAGAAAAGCTCAGTGGCAGCTGCAGATCAATCCGATTCTTGGTCCTCCTGGGGTGGTAAAATGGTCGAAGAAACCAGGAATGATGGTGTCCAAGGTGGATCCCCTGGTTGGGATAAAACAGATGGTGGCAGTGGTGGGTGGGACCCTGTCGAGAAAAGCTCAAAGGCTACAACAGATCAATCAGACTCTTGGGGTGTTGCTAAAAAAGCCGAAGGTGAATCTTCTATTTGGGGTAAAAAAGTTGAAGGTGGTGATGGTTCTGTTACCCAACCTGATACCAATGGATCATGGGTCAAGGCTTCTAAGATTCCAGAATCTGAAGCATCAAAATCCTCTTGGGGGAAATCTGGTAAAGGACTTGATCAACCTTGGGGTAGCCATAACCAGTCTGATAAACCGGCTGCTACATGGGGTAATACTGTCAAAGATGATGTCAAACCAAAGCCAAGTTCTGGAAACTGGAATCGAACTACCGATGGAGCTCCGTCAACCTCCAGTGGTGGTTGGAGTAATAAACCAGAATCTAATAAAGGTCTCGTTCAGCCTGGATCCTCCTGGGGGGCAAATGATGATGAATCTGATCCCTCCTCTGCTTGGGGAAAAAGTGCCAAAGAAGATAGTGGTGGAAAGAAGCAAAGAGGGGAATGGAATGCATGGCAAAAAGGAACCAATGAATCACCGACTCAAGCAGAAACAACACAAGGTAGCTGGGGTAATACCAGTTCCAAGTCTACAGAAGAAGGTAGCTGGGGTAGAAAAGGTAACTCAGGTGAACAGAAGAATGAAGCGGTTGGAGGGTGGGCTTCCTCTAATAAGAGTAGTGGTTGTTCTGATTGGGCCTCAAAGAAAAGAGAGTCTGCAGGTGGTGGCTGGGGTTCTTCCAAAGGTGGTGCTGCTGCTGATTGGGCATCACAGAAGAGAGAGTCTCCTGTCAGTGAAAGGAGTAATGATTCACCCAGTGGTGGATGGGGTTCCTCTAAGGGTGCTTCCAAGGGTGGTGCTGCTGCTGATTGGGCATCACAGAAGAGAGAGTCTCCTGTCAGTGAAAGGAGTAATGATTCACCCAGTGGTGGATGGGGTTCCTCTAAGGGTGCTTCTGGTGATTGGGCCTCGCAGAAGGGAGGGTCTGTGGTCAATAATGACTCATCCAGTGGTGGTTGGGGTTCCTCCAAGGGTGGTGGTGGTCCTGATTGGGCCTCGCAGAAAAGAGGGTCTCATGTCAATGACTCAGCAGGTGGTGGTTGGGGTTCTTCCAAGAGTGGTGGTGGCGCTGATTGGACCTCACAGAAAAAAGAGTCTGTGGTCAATGACTCAGCCGATGCTGGTTGGGGTTCTTCCAAGGGTGGTGGTGCTGCTGCTGCCTGGACCTCACAAAAAAAAGAGTCACCAGTTAATGAAAGGAGTAATGACTTGGCCGGTAGTGGTTGGGGTTCATCTAAGGGTGGAAGTGGTTCTGATTGGCCTTCACAGAAAATAGAATCTCATGTCAATGACTCAGCCGGTGGTAGTTGGGGTTCCTCTAAGGGTGGCAGTGGTTCTAACTGGGCCTCACAGAAAAGAGAGCCTCCAATCATTGAAGGGAGTAATGACTCAGCTGGTGGTGGTTGGGGTTCTCCTAAGGTTGGCACTAATAAAAACATTTCCCAATCTCAGTGGGGTACGCCACAGAAGAGTACAAATGAAAACCCGCGAGGTTGGGGCTCTGCAGTTTCAGACACTGAAAAATCGAAAGAAGCTACTGGAGTAGCCGATGGTGGTTGGGGTTCTTCCAAAGGTGGTTGTGGGAATGAATCGTCTGGTAGTGGTTGGGGCTCTCCAAAGGTTGGCAACAATGATGAGGCTAATGGACAATCTCAATGGGGCGCACGCAAGAGTGTAGGATCCTCTGGTGGAGAAGAGGAAGGCAGGAATGATTCAGGTGCTGGTGCTGGTTGGGGCGCTCCAAAGGTTAGTAACAATGACGATGGGGGCAATGGACAATCTCAATGGGTCCCACGGAAAAGGAATAGAGAAGACAACAATGAAAGTCCGCGAAGTTGGGGGGCTTCTGCAGTTGCTGGAGGAGGGGATTGGAAGAATAAGAGAAACCGTCCACCAAGGCCAGCTGATGATTCTGGTGCTGGTGTGGCTTTCACCTTTACAAGGCAGAGGTTGGATAAATTCACAGCTGAGGAGCAAGAGATTCTCCTTGAGGTTGAGCCTATCATGCAAAACATCAGAAGGATAATGCATCAATCAGGGTAATTGCATTTACTAATTATGGTGGATGCTCATTTAAATCTGATCTGATACTTGTCTAAGTTGTTTCTCATTGTGATTGCTTGAAGAATGATGTTTCCATTTGATTTTGGAGTTCTATAAAATTTTGTGTGCTTCTTGCAAAACTTGATACTATGTTCCAAGTTTCCTAATATAATTGGAAAGTGAAGCGTGCATTGCGTTCTAACTTGTTTCACTTGTCTTTTTTCTTCATGGGATCAAAGGTTGAATGATGGTGATCCACTAACTGCTGATGACAAGGCGTATATTGTTGAGAATGTTGTCAGTTATCATCCGGATAAAGCCTCAAAAATTGGAGCTGGAGTTGATTACCTTATGGTAAGCTCTGCTGCACTGCATTTTGAATTTATTACAAATTATGTTTTTAGTACTTATACTAGTGTTTCTAGACTGGGCAATTTTGTTAGTTTTGTTTACAATTTATTTTGCTTCTGTGGAGAGTTCTTATGCCTATACAGTACTTTCTTAATGTGGCAACAACAATTTCTTAATTAATTACGTGAATTACAGATTAGCAAGCACAGTAATTTCCAGGACACTAGATGCTTCTACGTGGTGTCAACTGATGGTGCCAAACAAGATTTTTCCTACCGTAAATGTCTGGAAAACTTAGTGAAGACCAAGTTCCCGGATAAAGCTGAAACCTTCAACCAGAAGTATTTCTATGTAAAACGGCTCCCGCCCCTGCCTCGTCACCCCGGATGGAAACAACAAGAAAATAGTGGTGGGGGTGCCACACCAGAAGCTGGAACTGAAGAACCCAAACAACAAGGGCCTACTAACGCTGCTGCCACCGGTGGTTGGGGTGCCACTCCAGAAGCTGGAACTGAAGAAGAACCCAAACAAGAGCCTACTAATGCTGCTGCCACCGGTAGTTGGGGTTCCACTCCAGAAACTGGAACTGAAGAACCCAAACAACAAGAGCCTACTAATGCTGCTGCCACCAGTGGTTGGGGTGCCACCAGTGGTTGGGGTGCCACTCCAGAAGCTGGAGCTGAAGAAGAACCCAAACAACAAGAACCTACTAATGCTGCTGCCACTGGTGGTTGGGGTTCCAGAAGCTGGAACTGAAGAAGAACCCAACGAACAAGAGCCTACTAATGCTGCTGCCACAGGTGGTGAGGGTTCGACTGAAGTAGAACCTACGAGGCTGGATGCTGAGCCTTGACAAAAAATGCTTCAGATAGTTGTTGGACTTTAATGTTGACCATTTGGGTTAATTTAGAATAAGCCCTTCATAATCTTTTTTTGGGTGTTTTTAGGAGATGAGATATAGTCTCTGTATAGTTCCTTTTTGTAGTGAGTTGTTCAAAATCTAGCAGTAACTGCATTTGGATGGAATTCTATCTCACATATGCCAGTGATGAAAAGTGACCACCTACCTAATTGTCCTGTGTTCTCTGAAATTCTTGCCAAAATTTTGTTTGTTATGTGGGAAGATTTAGCTTCTTTTCTCCGGGAGAGCTCAAATGAGCAATAGAAGTTTTAGATTAGTCTTCGATGCCTCTGTTAAGCTCGTACTTGTGCACCGTTTGTTGTAAAGGTTTTTGTGATGACTGATGACATGGAGGATTCGAAGGGCTATAATTTAACTGTCTTTAGTTAGTGGTAATATCTACGGAGCAAATAATGATAGAAGATTTTGTAACCAAATTGAGAGATTGACTCTCCAGCAGTCCAGCATAGTTGCTCTCTTGCTCTGTTGTTTAAAGCTTTCATTAACAATGGGGGTGAACATATCAACTGTTTTATGAGTCTAGCCGGTAAAGTACTTTGAAGAATTTAAATAGTCCAATGTGAAATATATTAGAATATACTTTAGAATATGCTTAAGAATGTTTTAGGAATGAGTAGCGATCTTGTCGCCATTAGGCTGAGGGGATCTTGTCAGTGACAGGATTCACCATTAGGCTGAGGGCATTTGGGACCCTTCTCGATGAATTTTTTTAAGCGTGTTCTTCATCAAATCTAGTTTATGCCTACCAAATTTCAGTTTAAAATTCAATCGGAAAGAAAGTTAAATAAATTCTCTACAAAAATTGTGGTTGTTTATATATATATATATATATATATATATATATATATATATATATATATATATATATATATATATATATATATATATATATATATATATATATATATATATATAGGGAGTGGTTCTAAACTTCTAATGAGAACACTCCTTGTCGTGAGAAATGGGAACACATCCTAACCCACTTACCCACCATATAATTTAATGAATGACTATTAAATGATTGGCTCACAATATAATGATGCACATCCCCACATTGTAACCCATCTTATACATATGGAAAGGTGAGATTGTATAACTAACAATGGACATAAGAGTAATTTTATTAATTCATTTAATGAGTAACGGTTGTAGGTTACAACTTTCCAAAAAAGTAGGAAAAATAAAATATTGAAACATATAAAATGTTTTTCGTTTAAAATAGATTTAACTTTTTAAATTATAATTACATTTTATCAAAAATTATATCAAATTAATTAATTTTTTTATCTTTCACATGACACTAATATTGCATATATAATTTTTTTATAAAAAAGGTATTATTTGTGTACAACAAATTACAACAAGCATCTTCAGGGTAGCTATCACACACACAAGAACATGTATGTAACACACAACAACCAATATTTAATGCACACGAAAAGGAGTATCTCACAAATAGTTTGTATATAAAGCACAAGAGCAAATATTTCAATCACAAAAAACAGTATCTAACACATAACAATTAAAAACTAATATTGAACACATAAGGATTTCATATAAATTAAGTTTAAACTATTATATAATACACATCAACTAGTATCTACAGCACAATGCGTATAAACGTTAGAGAACTCATATCTAGCACATAGTGTGCACAATGAGAATCAAAACAAATACATCATGCACAAGAACCGGTATCTAGCACACAAAACAAATACTGCACTTGAGTGACACAATAGTGCAATAGTAATTGTATTGATGCATATGAGTGAGCAAATATGCAAATGTTAAGATGTAAAGTATGTTGAATCAATGTCTAGCACATAATCTTCAATATGTAATGCACATGAACTGGTATCTAACTCATCATTGATATATAACATAACAATGAATAAGTTTCTATATGTAATGCACATGGACCTGTATCTGACTCACATTTCGTATGTCATTTGTGCACATAAACAAATTATGCAAGTTATGTACATTAGAATAAGTGTGTGCATCACTATATGTTAGTTGTGCACCATAGTCAATTGTGCAAACAAATTATCTAAAATTATTATAAAAGTGGTCTTTGAAAATAAATAGTGCTCACCATATATCAGGAAGAAAGTGTACTTAATTTTTTAGTTATCATCATAATATTATTCATGATAGACAAACAACACAAATAAATTATTTCAAAAAGTTCAAGTGAGTACGTGACAACTAAAAAGTATTATTTAATGATATATGGAATGTAATGATTGCATTAGTGGATTGTTCAATTAAGAAGCTAAGGTATTACGGAGTAATTGCCAACGGTGGTTACCAAAACTGATTTATTGTAAAATACCTAAATAGCCTTCGTTTAATTAAGTTGAGTGCACATCTGTATAGATCAATCATTGGCTGCGATGTGTTCTCACGTTCTCACGTTAAGACTCGTTCTCAGTTGAACCAAAATATATATATATATATATATATATATATATATATATATATATATATATCCCAAATATATATATATATATATATATATATATATATATACTTCCTCCGTTCTTAAATAAATGCAACGGTCAACATTTCACACTTGCCGAGACACAACTTTGACCATTAATATAAATGATTTTGTATTAGTAAAAAAATTAAAAAAATTAGATTATGAAAATTTACAATGAGACAAGTTTAACAATATTTTTTTCATAAAATAATATTATTACATTAATAAATAAAATGTAGTCAAAGTAGAACATGTGAATAGTATAAAAGTCAAAGTGTTGCATTTATTTAAGAACGGAGGTAGTATAAAGCACAGTTTTTTGTAAAGAATTTATTTAACTGCCTTCCTGGTTGAACTTTTTGCTGAAATTTGGTGGGGATAAACTAGTGGTGGACTCGGGCCGGGTGGCCAGACCCGAAACCGGCCCGGGACCGGTACTGTTCTGGCCCGGCCCGAACCGGTGGCTCAGTCAGTAGTGACCAGTCCGGTTAGGCCCGACCCGAGGGGTTTCCGGTCCGGGCTCGGGTCACCCAAACCAAGGCCCGGCCCGGGCCCGGTTCGGGCCAAATTGATTTTTTTTTGTTTTTTTTCATTTGTTTGGGCTCCACCCGGGTTGGACTTGATGTTTAGGAGGGGGTTTGGGGGGTGGGGGTGAGGGGGGGTCAAGGATAGGTAGGTAAGCAAAAAAAACAAGCTCGAGGCCCGGCCCGGACCCGGTGGCTACTCGGGCTGGTCCCGGGTTCACCTATTCACACCTGCCGGCCCGGTCCGAATCCACCACTAGGATAAACTAGACTTGATGAAGAACATACTCAAAAAAATTCATCAAAAAATTCCACCAGGAAGGAGCTCAAATGACCTGATATGATCTCCCTCTTTTTGAAATATATTTTAGGATATTATTATTATATAAAATTTTATAGAAATATACTATTTGGTATATTTTCAGTGACTCATACCGCCATGAGATCATTTTTTGGTATCATGCATGTCCCAAGCCAGGATAAAGGAGGAGGGTGCTGTGGTAGGCGCGTGACGGCCAACAGTATCACTTAGTCACATTACATGACATGAATCGATATATGAATATCGCTACAGCTAGGTCGTTGCCGTAAGTGACACGTCATCCCTCCGCCTGGGGGTGGTGTCAAATGAGCAAGGGCGCGCTATACTTCATAGGCCTGGGTGTGGTGATAAGAATGCTAACGCTACTAGGTCGTCACCGGGAAGCGACGTGCCACTCCAATGCCCGGGGATGGTCTCAAATATGCAAGAGCATGGTGGGGGTCGATGTGGGGTGAAGAAGAGAAGGCATGGTGTTAGATTGCGTTTTGGGACATGAAATGTTGACTCTCTTACGGGAAGATCATCTGAGATAGCCGAGGTTATGAAGAGGAGGAATATCAGCATAATGTGCATGCAAGAAACTAAGTGCGTTGGAGAAAATGCACGTGAGATTAATCTCGGAGGTTTTAAGCTTTGATACTCGGGGAAAGAGAGGAACATAAATGTAGTAGGCATTATGGTGGCACATGATTATGTTGACGTATGGTTGAAGTCTTTAGGAAGAACGATCGCATCATGAGCATTAAGTTGATAATAGGGGATGAGATCGTGTCCGTGGTAAGTGCCTATGCACCACAAGTGGGATTGGATGCATCTATCACTCAACAATTTTGGAAGGATCTTGAGGAAGTGGTGCGACGAGTGTCAAGGGGAGAGAATTTGGTCATAGGAGGTCACTTCAACGGGCATGTGTGCCCAAGTCGTGATGGTTTTGAGAGTATCCATGGCGGACATGGTTTTGGCACTAGAAATGAAGCGGGGAAGAACATTCTGAATTTTGCCTCGACATATGAGTTGGCTGTGATGAACACTTGGTTCAAGAAAATAGACTCTCACCATGTCATCTATAGAAGTGGAGCTAATAGTACGCAAATTGACTATTTTTTAGTACGGACGACTTGGAGAACTAGCTACACTGATTGTAAGGTTATCCTAGGTGAGAGTGCTATCACTCAACATAGAATGCGTGTGCTTGATTTTCAAGGTAAAAAGAGGAGACAAGTTAAGGTAGAAGGGGAGCCAAAGATAAAATGGTGGAGACTCGAGGGAATCTCCAACAAACTTTTGCAAACAAAATGTTGGAGGAAGATGTGTGGTCTATTGATAATGACGCACATGTGGATGATGTGTGGTTATCAATAGAGTCCACCATTAACAAAGTGGTGAAAGAGATATTCAAAAAATCTAAACGATGTTTGCCACAAAAAAAAGGACACGTCTTGGTGGAATGATGAAGTGAAACAAGCAATAAGGACCAAAAGGGAATGCTATAAGAAATTGAGCAAAAGTTGGAGCGATGAGAACGTAGAGGAGTACACAGAGGCTAGAAGAAGAGCAAAAAAAGCTGTGAAGGAAGCCAGAGGAAAAGTGAACAAGGAATTGTATGTAAAGTTGGACTCTAAGGAAGGAGAAAAAGATATCTACAGACTTGCTCGCCTTCGTGACAGTAGGACTCAAGATATCAGAAAAGTTAAGTGTGTGAAGGATGTTGATCAAAGGGTACTAATGGACGACGGAGAAATAAAAGAGAGGTGGAGGTCATATTTGATACCTTGTTCAACGGGAATAAAGTGCAAGGTATTGATGATCTTACTATACCAGAGTGTATGGTAAATCGGGACTTCGTGAGAAGGATTCAAATAGTAGAAGTTAAAGGGGCTATGAGAAAAATGGGGTGGAAGAAAGTAGAGGGCCCATATGACATACCGGTCGAGGCTTAGAGAAGTTTGGGAGAGAAAGGCATCAAGTGACTAACACGTTTCTTCAACATGATTTTGAGAAACAACAAAATGCAGTGAGTTAGCTGAAGACTACTCTCATTCCCTTATTTAAAAATAAGGGTGATGTACAAGAATGTGCTAACTATCGAGGGATTAAGCTTATGAGTCACACCATGAAACTTTGGGAGCGAGTGGTTGAGCAAAGACTTCGTAAAAGTGTGAAAATTTCGGAGAATCAATTTGGTTTTATGCCTGGACGTTCAACGACCGAGACCATTCACCTTCTTAGAC